ATCAAACTCCGCTTAGCCGCATGCAAGGCAAGTGCCTAACCCACTGTACTACCTCTCTGACTAATCAATTGTGCTTTCTATTCGTGTATTACTGCTTTTCGTTTATTTTCTCTCTCTTGTTTTTCAAATGTCTGGAATCAAACCCAGAGCCTCACATATCTAAAATAAGTGCTTTATTATTGAGATTTTTTTTTTCTACTTTTTGGGGGTGGCAGGATCTTGGGGCCCATACCTGGTATTGCTCTTGCATCCCTCCTGTCACTACTCAGGGGAGCATAGGCAGTGCCAGGGAATCTAACTGAGGTTGGATGAATGCAAGGCAAGCACCTTAATCCTTGTATTATTTCTCCAGCCCTTTGTTTGTTTGGTTGACTTTTGGGGAGCAGAGTCTGGGATTAAACCAAGGACCTCACACATGCAAGGCAAGTGCTCTACCACTGAGCTACGTCCCCATCCATTGTTTGATTTATTTATTTTTAAGTTTGGTTTGTTTTTCTTTCATATCCTCCACCACTGAGCTATATCCCCATCCATTATTTATTTATTTTAAAGTTTGGTTTGTTTTCTTTTTCATATCCTACAATGTTCGGGGGCTATTCTCAGGTCTGTATCCAGAGGTTGCTTCCAGTGGTTACTTCACTGGTTCTTCGGACTATGCTGCTCAATGTATTGAATCCAGGCCTCCCACATACAAAGCATACAGTCCAACCTATTGAATTGTCTCTCCATCACTACTGATTGTTTTGTTTTGTTTTGTTTTGGATTTGGGGGCCACACCCAGCAGTGGTTATGACTTACTCCTGGCTCTGAACTCAAGAATTATTCCTGGCAGGGCTCGGGCATCATATGGGGTGCCAGGGCTTGAACCTGGGTAGACTGCATGCAAGGCAAATGCCCTACCACCATCCATCACTTCAGTCCTCCCATTGTTGTTATATCGGAGCTACATCCAGAGGTTTGCTGTACTTGGAGGCCACTTGGGCCACATGCCATGGCGTTATGATGAGAAAGTCAACTGCTTTTGAGATCTTTTCAAATGTATAACAATTCATTGTATGAATACAGTCATGGTTTGCCTAAAGTCATGGTTTTGGTTCAAGTCAACCACATATGTGGCAATGGTCTCAATAAGCTATATCTAAAACATATAACCTAGTTCTGCAGTATACTATGCCAGCATTCGTTCAACTCTTTAATTATTGTAGGTTTTTGGGCTGGAGAGATAGGATAGCGGGGAGGGGTTTGCCTTGCATGAGGCCGACCCGGGCTTGATTCCTCAGCCCCTCTCAGAGAGCCCAGCAAGCTACCGAGAGTATTCCGCCTGCATGGCAAAGCCTGGCAAGCTACCTGTGACATATTCCATATGCCAAAAACAGTAACAAGTCTCACAATGGAGACGTTACTGGTGCCTGCTGGAGCAAATCGATGAACGGGAGGACAGTGCCACAGTGCTGCAGTTTTTGGGCCACACCTGAATGTGCTCAAGTCTTACACCTGGCAGTGCTTGGGGGGCCAAGTGCAGTACTGGGGATCAAACTGGGGTTGGCCATATGTAATGCAAGTGCTTTACCCTCTGTACTGTATCTCTCAAGCCCACAACCTTTTTACTCTCGTGAACCTGTTCTGCATACCAGTTCTTTGACCCACAGTTATAACTAAGATCAGTGATTTTCAGCCTTTCTATATCAGCACTAATCCATGGACTGATTGTTGTAGACCACTAAGCTTGTGTAATTATACTCAGACTTTCTTACAACAACAAATTCATATAAAGTGGGCTAGAGATATGTCACAAAGTGGTGAAGATAGATACCGAGTATGTACAGGGAACAGCATTCAATTCTTGGCAACATACTTACCTCTATTCTTCTTTATCACTACCAGCCAGATATAGCCCTGGTGGGCTCTTGGCCCCTGAGCACCATTGGTTGTGGCCCTGGTGGCTTCCAGCACAATTAGGCCCAAAGCACTGCAGTGTCATGTTCAAACCATTAGGATGATTTTCACTAGGAGTGATAATCCTACTTCAAAAAATACAAAATCACCTAATGATGGATTCCTTGAAGTAATTTTCTTTGTTAAATGATCTTTGGGTATTGACGCTGGAGAGATAGTATAGTGGTTGGGTACCTACCTTGTAAGCAGTAGACCTAGATTCAATCCCCAGAATCCCACATGGTCCCACTGAGCACCAACAGGAGTGATCCCTGAGTGCAGAGCAGCCAAGAGTAAGAAGAGCATGGCTATGTAATCAAACTCATATTAATGGGTACCTTGATTATTTTGGTTTTGGGCTATTTTAACAATATTTCTTATTTTTAAAAAATATAAATCAGTATTTATCTTCATGGTTTCTGGCTTCTGAGCCATAAGACTTTTTTTGTTTTCATTTTTTACAATTTTATTTATTGAATCACCATGAGAGCAGTTACAAAGCTTTCGGGTCTGTCTCGGTCATACAATGAAACACCCGTACCTTCACCAGTGCCCATTCTCCACCCCCAACAACCCCAGTACACCCTCATCCCCCACCCTCTTCTACCCTCCCCCTACCCGTGGGGCAGATGATTTCTACATTACTCTCTCTCTACTTTGATCACATTCAATATTTTGACACCAGACCCACCGTTATTATTTGAGATTTTACCCCAACACTCGGCAAGCTACCGAGAGTATCTTGCCTGCACGGCAGAGCCTGGCAAGCTACCCGTGACGTATTCGATATGCCAAACACAGTAACAATAAATCTCACGATGGAGATGTTACTGGGCCTGCTCGAGCAAATGGATGAACAACGGGAAGACCGTGACCGTGACCCCAACACTCAGATCTGCTGAAAAGGCAACAGTAGACAATTTGTTTTCAAGCTGAAGTGATAGCACAGTGGTAGGGCATTTGCCTTACAAGCGGCCAACATGGCCGACCTGAGTTCGATTCTTCCGCCCCTCTTGGAGAGCCTGGCAAGCTTCCGAGAGTACCTCGCCCGCACGGCAGAGCCTGGCAAGCTACCCGTGATGTATTCGATATGCCAAACACAGTAAGAACAAAGTCTCACGATGGAGACGTTACTGGGCCCGCTCGAGAAAATCGATGAACAACGGGAGGACTGTGCTTCCAAATCCACCTTGCTGGTTATGAATAACATATGATGTCGCATGGCTGTAGTAGTGGCCGTGCGATTTTGAAATTTCAAAATTTTAGCACTAAAATCTGGAGGGATTTCTGCCAAAACCTGCTGGGTTCCGAGATTTGCTCCTGAGTTTCTTGGATGATGGCCGTTAAGCAGCTTGATCAGGAGCCAGAAAGGCCGTTCATGGGCGATGACTTGAAGTCTTGTTGGGGTGGGGAGGACAGGACCGGCTCCACCTCCATCCTGTGAGGCCCAACATGTCTTGTCACCGCAGGCCCAAACCTGACTGTCCAATGGCCTCTGGAGGATGATGGCCTCCAAGCTACCAAGGGGGAGCAGGCGGAGGGACAACACTCTTTCCCCCATAGGGTGGCCTGGCGACAGTAACCTACTGCGGGTTCCGGACGCATTTCTGCCAAAAGCCGCTGGGTTTCAAGATTTGTTTCTGAGTCTCTGGGATCATGGCCATTAAGCAGCTTGATCAGGAGCCAAAGAGGCCGTTCGTGGGCGATGACTTGGGGTCTTGTTGGGACGGGGAGGACAGAACTGGCTCCACCGCCATCCCGTGAGGCCCAACAAGTTTCGTCACTGAGGGCCCAAGCCTGACTGTCCAATGGTCTCTGGAGGATGACAGCGACCGAGCCTCCAAGGGGGAACAGGTAGAGGGATAACACCCTTTCCCCCCTGGGGTGGCCCAGCGACGGTAACCTACTGTGGGTTCCGGACGCATTTCTGCCAAAAGCTGCTGGCTGGGTTTCAAGATTTGTTTCTGAGTCTCTGGGATCATGGCCAATAAGCAGCTTGATTAGGAGCCAAAGAGGCCATTTGTGGGCGATGACTTGGGGTCTTTTTGGGGTGGGGAGGACGGGACCGGCTCCACCCCCATCCCGTGAGGCCCAAAATGTCTCATCACTGCGGGCCCAAACCTGACTGTCCAGTGGCCTCTGGAGGATGGCGGCCACTGGTCCGCCAGGGGGAACAGGCCCAGGCATGAAACCTATTCCCACCTGGGTTGGCCCAGCACCGGTAACCTACTGCAGGGACCGGACGCATTTCTGTCAAAAGCCGTTGGGTTTCGAGATTTGTTTCTGAGTCTCTGGGATCATGACCATTAAGCAGTTCAATCAGGAACCAGAGACCATGCCTCCAATTATATAGCTGAGCCGGAGGTGGTTTGTGGGTATTTCCCACATACCTAACTTCTGGCCGTTTACTTTCTTGGTAAACTTTGCCCCAAGTTTTTGGGGTCTGGTCAAAGGCACAGCAGCAATTTTGGGGTATCTGGAAGTCTGAAAGCGCCATCAGGCTGCTGAAGCACTCGCCTCACAGGTACAGATTGACCTGCTGGCGGCACCATACCCCCCATGAGCCATAAGACTTTTTACTTTTTACTGTAATGAGATTATAGGGTGGTAGAAATACAAAGATTTAAAAAAAATTAAAAAGTTTTACAACAAAAGGCTCAAAAGGGGGGAAATATACTAATTTATAGTCATATTAGTTTTACCTAATAATAAAGACAATATTGAGTAATATTTTAACAGTAAATGGGAATGTAAATTTGTTAGAGAAGCGGCCTGAGTGATAATACAGAAGTTAGGGTGCTTTCCTTGCACTCAGTCAACCCCGGTTCAATCCCTGGCACCCTTTTTGACCCAGTGAATCCTTTCAAGAGTAAACCCTGAGACAGAGCCAGGAGTAAACCCTGGTCACTGCTGGGTGTGGTCCCCTGCAGAAGAAAAAAAAAATTACTGGTGAATAGCCCCTGATCCCTACCAGGTGTGGCCTAACTACCTACTCTCCTGAAAATAAAGCATACTTAGATTCTTGTAATATGTAGTCTAAAACTTTTCTTCATATTTCTGCTTAGGTGAAAAACTTCAGGTGCTAAAAGCCAAACTACAAAAAGCAATGAAACTCCGAAGGTTTGAGGAGCGCCAAAAGCGTGAAGCATTATTTAAATTAGATAATGAAGAGGTGTTTGAGGAAGAGGAGGAGGAAGAAGAAGAAGAAATAACGGATGAGTCTGAACAAGATGGAGAAGAGGAGGAAGAGGAAGAATTAGAGGAAGAAGAGGCCAAAGCAGAGGAAGAGGAGGATGAAGGCAATCAAGAGGTTTCTGGCAATTATGTAATTTTGTAATTGGTCACAATAAATAGGGGAATAGAAAATCATTTGAATAAGAATATGATAAGCATATTTGATTGTGAGAAATTTTAGGATTAAAGATAAATGTAGCTAGTTCATATGTACTTGAAGCTTACTGTGTTAAGTTCTGTCAGTATTATTGAACATCTGCAGACCTGCGAGCCTTGGTTTCTGGCTTCTGCCTGTTTACCTCTAGTAATATCACTGTGATAGTATTGAAATGGCTTTGTATTAATAGAGACTTTTGTTTTTGTTGTTAAGTATTTGTTCCTATTCAAATTCAAAAGCAGGGGACCAGCACCCTACAGTGGATGGGGTGCTTCCTTCCCCATATGGTCCCCTGACCATTACCAGGAGTGATTCCTGAGTGCAGAGCCAGGAATAAGTCCTAAGTACCACCAGGTGTGGCTCTCCCCCACCCACTCCCACAAAAAAATATTTTTTTTTAACCTTAATCAGGTTGAGAGATTGGAATAAATTCTCAGGTAGGCCAGGACCTTCCTAAGTGAATTTCATACTTCATCGAGAAGGATATTTGCAAAAGAGACTCTTACCTTTGTTCCATAATATTATTTTCTGCCTGGCAAAATAGATGGTAATAAGATTTTTGGCATAAGAAAAAGGGGAAAATTCTTATTAGAATGTGAACTCACTTGGAAATAATGGCTAATATTTAACCAGGAGCAAAGGAAGAAGAAAATAGTGACTGAACTGGGCGGCATATTACAGTCTGTGATTGGCTGGAAATTATTAATTGTTCTATAAATCTCAGGCTACATGCAAGGCAAACACCTTATCCAGTATACTATTGCTCCAGTTTCATGTATGGAAGAGTTCTAGAAGCGTCAGGGAAAATTGTTAGTAATAATGGTTAAAACTGAGCCTCCTTTAGTTTTACTTTTTAGATTTAAGGTTGGGACCTGCAACTGAGCACCATCCACACATCCTATATGGTGTGTTTACTTTAAATGGTGTGTTTACTTTTTAAATGTTTTGACTTGTGTTATTTTGTTCTGGGTGTAATGTGATGATGAAGATCACAGAATTCTTCAGTGGTGAAGAAATAGAAACCAAAGATGAAAAAGAATTGGACAAAGAAAATAATGATGGCAGCAGTGAAATTGGCAAGTCAGTTGATCTTCTTTCTATTCCCAAACCAATCTCATCAGATTCTACCTTACTTTTGTTTAAGGACAACTCTTCCAGGATGGGGTAAGTAATTCTAAGGAAAATTAAAAATTTCTGGGACTTGCCCACTTATTAAGAAGCAGAAACAGACACTTAAACAACTTACTTTCTTATTTTGTAGTTACTTTCCTAGCGAGGAAAAATCAGAAACAGATGAAAACTCAGGCAAAAGACCTTGCAAATTGGGTAAGTAGTGCTTCTTATGCAGAACTTAACTTTCTTTGATTCTCCAGATTTGATTTTTTTTAACCTATTTTATTTATTTTTGCTTTTTTGGGGGTTACAATCTGCAATGCTCAGGGACTACTCTGGCTCTGCACTCAGGAAAAATACTCCTGGCAGTACTCAGAGGACCATATAGGATGCCGGAGATTGAACACAAGTTGGCCGCGTGCAAGGCAGATACCTTACCCTCTGTACTATTGCTCTGGCCCCAGATTTGATTCTTTTTTTTTTTTAATTTTTATTAGTGAAACACCGTGAGGTACAGTTGTAGACTCAGATTTGATTCTTAAGAACTACAGTTCCCTAAGGTTCCTTTTGTGTATGTGTTTTCAGAATCCCATCCATGACCTCATACATAGAAGGCATTTTTTTTTACCACTGAGTTACGTTCCTAGTCCTAAGGTTCTTTTTTTGTTTTATATTGTCTTTTAAACCTTGATTTTTTTTTTTTTTGTGTGTGTGTGTGTGTAGGGGGAGGGTGTGTGTGGCAGTGCCACATTCAGCAGTACTCAGAGCTTACTCCTGCCTTAGCATATAGGAATCACTCTTGTTGGGTTCAGGGGCCATATGTGGCACTGAGAATCAAAACCCATGTCAGCTGCATGCGAAGTAAATGCCCTACCCACCGTAAGGTCTCTCCAACACCTTAATTTTTATCATTTTCATTATTTTATCTCTCTTCCCTTTCTTGTTGTAGTTTTTTTTTTTGTTTGTTTGTTTTTGTTTTTTTTGCTTCTTTTGGTCACACCCAGCGAAGCACAGGGGTTACTCCTGGCTCTGCACTCAGGAGTTACTCCTGGCAGTGCTCAGGGGACCATATGGGACGCTGGGAATCGAACCCAGGTCAGCCGTGTGCAAGGCAAACGCCCTACCTGCTGTGCTATCTCTCCAGCCCCCATGTAGTTGATATTTTTGTTGGGGTTTGTGACTGGGGTTCAAATGCAAAACAGGCTGTGCTACTTGTACATTTTTAGCTGTGGTATTTGCTAGAGATCATACATTAGAGTGTGGTGCTCTCACAGGTGCTCATGTAGATTCATAGATGAGCCATAAAAGTGATGCTTATGGTGCTTACCAGAGGTAAGAAGGCATATTTTCTGGCTGTGGTTCTTGCACATCTTTTTTCAGATGCAGAACTCTCTGGAGGTCACACTCCTTTTATACACACCTGACTGCAATGTAGTCAGAAATCACTTGGTGCCAGAATCATTGACAGCAGAGATATTCTAGTTGCACTTGACACATGTGGGACATGGGGGATTAAAATTTGTCACTATGTGGGGCTGGAGTGATAGCACAGTGGGTATGGTGTTTGCCTTGCATGCAGCTGACCCGGGTTCGATTCCCGCATCCCATATGGTCTCCTGAGCACCGCCAGAAGTGATTCCTGAGTGCAGAGCCAGGAATAACCCTTGTGCATTGATTGCCAGGTGTGACCCCAAAAAGCAAAAAAATAAATAAATTTGTGACTATGTGCTACTGAGGCAGATCTCTATGCCAATGTGCTATCATTCCTCTGGGCCCCATATATTTTTTTTAATTATATTTTTCCTCCTCTTCCTTTTGTGGTGACAGCAGTTTACACACTTGGTTATGGTACTCACACAGTTGTGTTTGCTGGAGGTTGTACACATTTCAGTTTTAGGGCTATACCTGGTATGCTTGGGAAATACTCCAGCTCAGTGCTCACAGCTCTCTCCCAGTGGAACTATATGGAAACCATATAGTTCAGGGGATTGTACCCAGGCTCCTGCATGCAAAGCAGGCACTTTGAGCCATTTCCTTAACCCATATTGCACTTTTTGTTGTTGTTGTTTGTTCTGGTGTCATACTCTGCATTGTGCTCAGGGCTTACTCTTTGTTCTATACTCATGGTTACCCCTTGTGTTACTCCTGGGATCTTATGCAGTACCAAGGGTTGAACTGGAGTCAGATGTATACAAGGCAAGCACTTCACCCCTGTATTATCTCTCCAGCCCCCAGAGTGCACTTTTCTGGTGTGTGATCTAAGAATCCCAAACAGCAGTATATAGAGTGTTTGCATGCTGCATATGGGGTCGTGTCAAGGATTAAATTTAGGGTTTCAGGCCTGTAGTGCCTACTCTACCACTGAGCCTTACTCCTGGACTCAAGTTCCAGTTTTTTGCACCATTGTGTACTTTTTTTAGTCTTAGATGCCACAGTGAAGGGTGTTTATAAATTATTTTTCTTTGTCCAGTTTTTTAAAACTAATCTGTAGTTTCTTTATAATTGATATGGGGATATAATAATTCCTTTAGTGAATATATGTTGATTATGTGAGCAGTGAAACAATCTTAGCATATGTAGATCAAAAGAAGATGTGTAAGTGATTAGATAATGGAGAGAGAGATCACAGGTCTTAACTGAATAGTGGATGACTCAAAGGACTGAAGTGTATGTTTTGTTTGCAGGAGCCCTGGTTCCAATCTTTGGCACCACGTGACTCCTTGCCACCATACTAAGTATGCTTGCCTCCCCCTAGGAGACCTCCCTTCAGCGCCCCCCCCAAAAAAAAGACAGTAAATTTTTGATATCACTTAATTCAGAGATAAACCCTGACTGGATAATGCTGTTTAATACTACAATTTGCCTTTAACTTAATGTTTTGGAACATATAACTTGAGAGGGTTGCCTATGAATGTTACTTAACAGTTTCATTCTCAACTCTTTTTCCTAAACAAATCCACCCTGTTTCTGGAATCATGCACTTCAAAGTTATTTCTCTTTCTTTAGATGAAGATGATTCATGCTCTTTGCTAACAAAGGAGAGCAGCCATAATAGCAGCTTTGAACTGATTGGCTCCACAATTCCATCCTATCAGCCTTACAATAGACAAACTGGCCGTGGGACTAGTATTTTCCCTACTGCAGGAGGATTCAGATCTCCTTCCCCTGGGCTATTTCGAGCCAGTTTGGTCAGCTCAGCTTCTAAGGTAAAATGATAATGGTTTTCTAATCTTCTCCCTCCTTTTGCTTCCCACATTGCTAAATAAAGTGTGTTCAAGCCAACCAACTCCCACCACATTATGTGTGTTCAGTTTTTAAAATCCACCCCCTTTGTGTATTAAAAACAAGCCTCATCCAGTGTTCTTACTTTTTTGGAGATATTTTTCTTTATGCTTCTCTTCACTATGCATTGTCCCCCTTAACTGCAGTTGCCTGAGAGTAGATTAAATATTGCAAATAGCAGCTTCTGTTGTTGTCATGACAGTGAATGACATTTGTAAAATGTTTTGTTTTTGTTTGGTTTTGTTTTGGTGCCAGAGTTCAGGAAAGCTGTCTGAGCCTTCACTTCCCATAGAGGATTCCCAGGATCTGTATAACGCCTCCCCAGAACCTAAGACACTTTTCCAAGGAGCAGAAGACTTCCAGTTCTGTTTAGAAGATGACACTCAGAGCCAACTGTTGGATGCAGATGGGTAGGTAGTTTTATATTTCTGTGGGTGGAAATGGTGCTGGGCTCTGCTTAATTTTGTTTTAAAAATAAACTAAGCTTCTGTCGCTCCATCTGTGCTTTCTCTTCTGAGAAAGAAGGTGTACAGGCCATTAGTATTGCATTCTACAAGTTTGAACAAAGTCTCTGGAAAATAAAACGTAAATAACTCTAGCTGGCATTCTGATCCTTCACTCTGCCTTATTTGAAATGCATAGCTCTTATAAGCCTTCAAATTTTCCATTTTTCATTCTACTATTGTGATTATTGGGTAGAGCTGAGAATTAACAGACTAGAACACCAACCTTTGCTCCAATACTTTATAATGCCAAAAGTTATTCTCCACCTTACTTTTTGTAGTATTTAGTCTTTTATAATTCCCCGCTCCTTTCTATTGTTACAGGGGCAAGTTTCAATCTTTTGCCTTCTGGTTTGGGATTCTGTTTCCAAATCTGGTATTGGAAATAAGTTTAACTTTTCATTCCTGCCTTTTGTTTCCCCTAGTCCTTACACTTTTCACTGTGTTTTTAGGTTTTTAAATGTTAGAAATCATAGGAATCAATACCAGACTCTGAAACCTCGCTTGCCATTGGCCAGTATGGATGAGAATGCCATGGATGCTAACATGGATGAGCTATTGGACTTGTGTACTGGAAAGTTCACATCTCAGACTGAAAAGCCTCTGACTGAGAAGAGTGATAAAAAAGAGAACATGGAGGAACTTCTGAATCTTTGTTCAGGAAAATTTACTTCTCAGGGTAAAATATCTAACGGAACATCAGGCTCACCACAACCACATTTTTTTCCTCCCCGGGTCATCACACCCAGTGATGCTTAGGAGTTACTCCTGGCTCTGCACTCAGGAATTACTCCAGGTGGTGCTCAGGGGACCATATGGGATGCCAGGGATCAAACCCTGGTTGGCCGCGTGCAAGACAAATTCCCTACCTGCTATACTATCACTCTGGCCTCACAGCCAAAAATGTCTCAAAGTCAAGTCCTTAACGCTTTTTTTTTTTTTTTTTGCATTTTGGGTCATACCCAGTGGTGCTCAGAGGTTATTCCTGGCTTTGCACTCAGGAATTACTCCTGGCTGTGCTCAGGAGACCTTATGGGATGCTGGGGATTGAACCCGGGTCGGCTACGTGCAAGGCAAATGCCCTCCCCATTGTACTATCACTCCAGCCCCAGGTCCTTAACTCTTGCATGAGTGTTAATTTTGCAGAAAACAGGATTGGTGAATTCTTATGTGTTGATTGAATATGCTGCTTAGCTCCCTGACAGTTAGAGCTCTTACTTTCTTAGAATGATAAAGTATTTGGCCATATGATATGTCATTTAAGGTTTTGTATGTGCAAAACTTAGAACATTGTCTGACATTATTAATATACATGTTAACAGTTTTGAACCTGCACACTCATTATTCCCTGCCTCTTCTCCCTTCTCTTTACCAAATTCAAGATCTATAGGACCTGGGACTTTTTCTTTAGTTCACTACTGTATCTCATATGCCTGCACATGGTAAACAATAAAAGTTTGTTGAATGAACAGGTGAAAAATTCATAACTGTAATACACTTGTATTTCTTAAGATTGCTATTATTTCTTTGTAACAAATCTTCTTTGTCGTGATATAGATGCCTCTACTTTGGCTCCATCAGAATCAAATAATCTGGAGAAGGAGGGTAGCATGGGTGATCCAATGGAAGAAGCACTTGCTCTTTGTTCAGGCTCATTTCCAACAGATAGGTGAGTCTCAGTGATAAGTGGGAACTTGGGAAGGCCTGGTTTTCCAATAAGTTCTTTCTTAGTAATAATAGATCATATTAGGATGTGAGATTCTTATAGTGGGTTTGAGTTTCATATTTACATAGTAGGGAAATTATAACGCGTTTGATTAGTTGGTGATGTACAGGCTTTGGTTGTTGTTGTGGTTGTTGTTGTTAAAGTCAAGAAGGGGGCTGGAGAGATAGTAGAGGAGGTAAAGTGCTTGCCTTGCATGCAGCTGAACTGGGTCAACCTCTAGCACCCAATGGGTCCCCATGTCCCATCAGGAATGATCCATGAGCAGAGAGTCAGGAGTAAGCACTGAGAACCACTGGGTGTTGCTAAAAAATAATAAAATTCAAAATTTAAAAGAAGACAAGAAGGAACGAGTGAGATAGTACAGGAGGCATGCAACTATGGCAGCTATGTCTTGTTCGAATCCCCAATTCCACATAGCACCACCAGAAATCTCTCCTAGCACAAAGCCAGTAATAGCCCTTGATCACAGGGTATAACCCCCAACCCCGGGGAGGGGGGGAAAAGTTTACCATCTAATGATATTTTAGGACTGGAGAGATAGTATAGTAGGTAAGGTACTTGCCTTGCTCATGGCCAATTCTGGCTTGATTCCCAGTTCACATATTGTCCCTCGAGCCCTGCCAGGTGTGATCCCTGAGTGCACAACTAGGAGTAATCCCTGAGCCTGAGTAACACTGGGTGTGGGCCAGATTCACTCCCCTCAAAAAAAAAAGAAGGGGTGCCCAATAATAGGCACATTAAAGATACTTAATGTAACTAATAATTAGGAAAATATTAAATCAAAACCACAAGATAATTATGCATACCTTTGAGAATAGCTACTATCAAAAAGGACAAATGGGAGCCAGAGAGACAGTACAGGCCTATTGCTTGCCCTGCATGTAGCTAACCTCAGTCCCCTATACTACGTATCTCCCAAGCATTGCTAGGCATCACTTCTGAACACAGAGCAAGAATTAGCCCCTGAGCACTGAGTGTGGCCCAAACCCCTTTGTACCACCACCAAAACAAAAAGTGGATAGAGACGCAATGATAGTGCTCAGTGGTAAGCAACATTTGCCTAGCAGAGGCCTCGATTTCAGTCCCTGGCACTGCATCACAGGCTGAGTACAATCCCATTGCCACTACTTTCTGGAATCTGGTGCCACAACAAAATTGTGCAATCTCCGTGCACCAAAACCAGGAGTGTATGAGCACCACAACTTAAAGTGTGTGACCCTTGGGCAATAAGATATCCACAAAAAAGGGTTATTTTGATTTTAGAGAAAGAACAGGAAGGAAATTTTTATACTACTAATGCATTGGTGAATTCAGAGAACATTATGCTAAGCTAAGTGAAGTTAGCCAATCACAGAATTACAAATGAAGTGTGTTCCTCATTTAAATGAAGAACCTTAATAGTTGGATTCATAATAGAAAGGCTGGGGGCTGGAGCGATAGCACAGCAGGTAGGGCATTTGCCTTGCATGCAGCCGACCCAGGTTCGATTCCCAGCATCCCATATGGTCCCCTGAGCACTGCCAGGAGTAACTCCTGAGTGCAGAAGTGCAGAGCCAGGAGTAACCCCTGTGCATTGCCGGGTGTGATCCAAAAAGCAAAACAAACAAACAAATAAACAAAAACATAATAGAAAGACTTTAGGAAGGTTTACCAAGGGCTATAAGAAAAGAATGGAAATTTGTTATTTAATGCATACAAGATTCCACTTTTACATGATGCAAAGTGTTCTGAAGAATGGTTGCACAATGTGATTGTACACTTAACAATTAAGGAGTTTGGAGAGACAGTTCATGGGTAGGGCACTTGCCTTGCACATAGCCAACCTGGATTCGGTTCCTGTCACCCCATATGGTCCCCCTAGTCCCAACAGGTAGGACCCTAAGTGCAGAGTCAGGGATAAGCCCTGAGCACTACTACTGGGTGTCGCCCCAAAATATACAACAAAATGAAGAGGTTGTTGGTACTATAAAGTATTTTCAGTTCTTTTTTTTTTTCTTTTTGGGTCGCACCCAACAATGCCCAGGAGTTACTCCTGGCTGTGCTCAGGGGACCATATGGGATTTTGGGAATTGAACCCAGGTCGTGCAAGGCAAACACCCTACCCACTGTGCTATTGCTCTAGCCCTCAGTATTTTCAGTTCTTAAGTTAACCCAACTACTTGTAATTAAACAAGTTTATAATTTGTATTTTAGGGAAGAAGGTGAAGAAGAGGAGTTTGGAGACTTTCAGCTTGTCCCAAATGATAATGAGTTTGATAGCAATGAGGTGAGTTTGAAGGGAACAAACTCGTCTTACTTAACTTGATGCATTGATCTTGACTGTTTCCCTCCTGATTTGAGTTACTGAGAATTCAAAGTGTAACACCTTAGAATTATTCTAAGTAATATTCTATAATGAGATGTTTGGCAGAAGTTTGTAATTCCCTTTGTAATTGAGTCCACATTTTATTCTGTTTAACTTTGGGTATGATACTATATGATTTTACAGGATGAACAAAGTGACTCTGATAATGAAGATGAGGCACTAGAAGACCATGAAGATGATGATGATGAAGAAGATCTCCTGCAGCAGTCTGAGAAGTTGAAAAGGCAAATGTATGTGTTATGTTCATTCCTTTGATTACTAGAAAGTTCTTCTAACAGTTAAGTTGTAGCTTACAATCTTTTAAATTTAATGGTTCAATTTTTGCTTTTTGTGGTTGACGGATTATTTTTTTAAATAAGCATTTTTATTTAGTTGTTTATTTGGGGGTTTGGGGTCACACCCGGTGATGCTCAGGGGTGTTACTCCTGGCTCTGCACTTAGGGATCACTCCTGGCGATGCTCGGGGGACCTAATGGGGTGCCAGGAATCAAACCCGGGTCCGCTGCGTGCAAGGCAAGCACCAGCCCTGCTGTGCTGTCGCCCTGGCCCCTGGTTGACAGATTTTAAAAATTCTTTTCACTGGGGAGATAGCTCAATGGCCTAGAGCCCCTGTTAAGTATTCTTTCCAACCCTATGGATATTTTCTTTGTCCTAAGATGTTGTATAACTACTTCTGTAGGTATTGTTATAATTTCTGTCCTTGTACTAGATTCATAAAGCCTACAGAAGCACCAAAGATTGTGGAAACTAAGTCACTTTAGATCCTGAAGATCTAGTAAACAACTAAAAATCTCTGGTTCGTTTTTCCTAAGATTCATTATTCAAGTTTTTCCTCATGCCAGTCTTGGGCAAATAATCTTCCTTCCTTCCTTCCTTCCTTCCTTCCTTCCTTCCTTCCTTCCTTCCTTCCTTCCTCCCTCCCTCCCTCCCTCCCTCCCTTCCTACCTCTTTTCCTCCCTCCCTTCCTCCCTTCTTTATTTCCTCCCTTCTCCTGAAAATAAACCATTTACTTTAGAATATTAAAAAGAAACAAGGGGCTGGAGAGATTGCCCAGGAGGTAAGATACTTTGCCTTGCACATGACCAACGTAGCTTAGATTCCCAGCACCCCATATAGTCCCCCACAGTGATCTCTGAGCACAAAGCCAGGAATAAATCCTGAACACCACCAGGCATGGCCCAAAAGGAAAGAGTTATTTCATGTCCACCATTTCGAATATTTTGTGAAAATATTTATTGGTGATTATTGCCTTATAACTTGTGTGCGTGGTGTGCCAGGGGCTGATTCCAGGTCTCACAAATGTGAGGCATGTGCTGTACTACTGAGCTGTATCACTGGCTTTAATCTTTATATTTAGTTGAGATCTATATAGGTTTTTTTTTATGTACAGTTTTGCATCTTGCATTTTTCCCTAGTTATTTCCAAAAATATTTTCCCATGACATTAGAAGTTTGGGGCCAAGGGTATGGCTTGTGTGTTGGACACATGCTTGGCACTGTAAAGCCTGGCACTGCGTGGCCCCCAACACTGCCAGGTGTGGCCCCACAGCATCACAACAGTGAAGGTTTACAGATAGCCCAGATGTCTATTAAATTAGATACCTATTTAATATAGAATATTCAGATTTTGTAGAAATAGATATGTAACATTATATTTGGGGATAACTTTTGGAATTTTTTATATATAGGACATCATATTGCTCATTCTGTTTATGTTTTTAGTCCATTCCATTCTATTAAGATTGGTTTTGAATTCTAATTTGTCACCTGTCAAACACACCCCTGGGTAATCAGTTGATTTTTTCTAAGTCAAAAAGTAATTTGATGGGGCTGGAATGATGGTACTAGTGGGTAAGGGCACTTGTTTTTCAGGCTGCTGACTCGGTTTTCATCCCCAGCACCACATACAGTCCTCCAAGCCCCACCAGGAGTTTGAGCCCTGTGATTCCATATTGTTCCTCAAGCCCACAAGGAGTGACTACTGAGTGTAAAGCCAGGAGTAAACCCTGATGAGCACAGCCAGATGTGACCAAAAATAACAACAATAAAAATTTTAAAATATAGAAATAAAAAAAATTGGAGGTGGGATACAGAGGCAATAGTATTTAGAGCTTACCCTTGGCTCTGCTCAGGGGGTACTCCTAGTGGTACTTGGGGAACCATATGCAGTGCTGCGGATCAAACTTGGGTCAACTACAGGCAAGGCAAGTGCCTTTCTCATTTTACTATCTCATCAGCCCAAAAGTAACATAAATATTTGATATAAACAGTCTTTCAGCTAGCCACCAAATTTTTGCCACTCATGACCACAGATAATAGGACTTTGAACCCAGGCTCAGCATACTTGTTCTCTATGGGAACTAACTAGTAGTTGTTTTGATTATCAGTGACTTTTTTTTATTTTTGAGTCATACCTAGCAGTGCTTGGGGAACCATATGGGATGCTGGGGATCAAATCCGAGTTGGCTGCGTGCAAGGCAAACATTATAACCGCTGTACTATCACTCCAGTTCCTATAAGTAACTCTTAAGCTTCAACCATCCTTCTGATTTGGGCTATCAAAGAATTGGTGGGCTATCACAGATCACAGTCTATTATTTTAGAATCTCCTGGAATATATATCTACATATATATGTATTTATGTATACATATATATGTATATATTTGTATTTTTTGTGTGTGGAGCTGCACCTGGTAGTACTCAGGGCTTACTCTTAGCTTCACACTCTGGAATTACTCCTGGCAGGCTTGGCGAACAGTATGTAATGAAAGGGCTCAAACCTGGGTGTGCTGCATGCAAGGCGAGTGCCTTACACCTGTACAGTCTCAACAAAATAACTGAGCTCCTCACCCTTCTCACCCTAAAATCTACTTTCTTTAAGTAAACAAACAGAAAATGTCCTCCAGTCACACCTGAGGCTACTACCTCATCCCCCCACTCGCTTCATTTCATTGTCTCTTTGAAGGGATAATATCACTCACTTTGGAAAACACTGATCTAATTGAACCCAAGCTCTGTTGCTTCTTCTCTGTGTGAACCTGGATAAATTTGCTCTCTCAGTTTCAGTTCCCACATCTTTGAATTGAAGGGAATATCAGTATCTTCTGAGGTAATGTGAAGATGCTATATAGCGCAGTTATTGGCACACAGACTTAAGTATTATCAATTTAAGTTCTAAATTGACAGACTTAAGTATTATCAATTTAAGTTCTTGTTTTTAAAAATTCCATATTCTGTGTATATAATTGTTATATTTTCTAATCTTCAAAATTATTTTCCAGGAGATTGAAAAAATACCTGGAAGATGAGGCGGAGGTGTCAGGGAGTGACGTGGGAAGTGAAGATGAATATGATGGGGAAGAGATTAACGAATATGAAGAGGACGTAATTGATGAAGTGCTTCCTTCTGATGAGGAGCTACAGGATCAAATCAAGAAAATACACATGTCAGTGTCCCAGCAAGCCCTTCTGAATAATGGAAATTGTCTCAAGGCAGGCCCTGTAACCAGACTGAATGGTCCTGGTTTCAATGACCAAATCTCTTCCATTGTAGGAAAACGATGTTGGATGATGATAAGCGACAGCTACGTTTATACCAAGAGCGTTACCTTGCTGATGGGGATCTGCATAGTGATGGTCCTGGACGCATGAGAAAATTCAGATGGAAAAACATAGGTATCTTGGTTTTTACCTCTAAAAGCAAATGGCACACCAAATATGTTTGTCCAGTGTAAACTGGCAAAACCATAGCAGGCTGTGGAGAGAGAGCCTAGTTATAACCATTACTTACTATTAGCAGATGGGGAAAGTTGGTGTCTGTTTGTGGTGAATAATATGGGTTCACTTGTGTCTCTCTAGGCACCTTCTTCTGTGGGGATTGCAGTATACTGACAGCCTTAATTTTTCTTTAGATGATGCCTCCCAGATGGACATGTTCCACAGAGATTCTGATGATGATCAAGTTGAAGAACAGATTGATGAGACCGAAGCCAAATGGAGAAAGGAGCGAATTGAACGAGAGCAGTGGCTTAGGGACCAAGTAGGAAGTCTACACTAAATTGACCTTTTCTGGCCATAGTTTATGAGGAGAGAACCCAGTCATCCAAATATCTCATTTTCAATGCTAATTTTTAAATTTTGGGCAACATGTTGCTGTTCCTTGTAATTCTTGGGTTTTCTCTTATGCTTTGAAAAGGTTACCATAGCTAAGTCTCAGCATGTTTTTCCAAAATCAAATAATCTTTTTGTGCATGTTTTAAAGACCATAAAGTTGCAAAAAAGTATATAAATGATATTCCAGGTATGGGACCTGGGCTAAGCTACTTATTTTGGGAAATTCTAGGCTTTTATTAATTCTTTCTGATTTCTCTCCTCAGGTACAGCAGGGGAAAATAGCAACTGAAGAAGAAGAAGAAATTGGGGAAGACAGTCAGTTTATGATGCTGGCCAAAAAAGTTACAGCCAAAGCACTGCAGAGAAATGGTGAGATGTTCTCCTCCCTCCTCCTCTCTATGGCCTTGTGTTTGGGGCTGCACCTGTTAGTCCCTCTGGACCTCCTCTCCTAGCCTTGTTAGTGCTGCAACCTTGCTGGCAACTCCAGTGTTCAGAAGCTCTTGCAGCATAATCATAGACCTGTGACTAAGAGGTCAAAAGAGACAACTCACAGACGTCAAAGAGACTGTATTTTTGGATGCAAAATTATTGGATAGTGTATATCATACTTGTTAAGTGTGTATTAATGGTTTTCCTTTGTGTTCCTAGGCAGGTCAGAGTAGTGAATTCTGGCTTCTTTATTTGGTTGACCAGGATTAATATACCTATTAGAATAAGATCTGAATCTAGATATAACTGACTTCCGAGCTGAAACTCTTAAACACATACCATACTCTTACCACTCTTATTTTTACTTGTTGTAACTGGTAATGACTGGCTGCTAAAGTTCAGCTTGATAAGTTTAAGTTGTCTGTCTTCTTGTAGCCACTTGCTTGTTTGGTTTGTTTTGGGGCCATACAGTGCTACTCAGGGGCCATTTCCACTTTGGTGCTCAGGGGTTGATTTCAGAGGTATACTTCAGATTCTGAAGTACCAGGGATTGAACCCAGGACTCCTGCATGCAGAGTATGCACTCCTGCCCTTTGAGCCATGTCTCTGGACCCACTTTATATGCTTTTTTTTTTTTAATAAAATAGAATAGTTTTTATTGAACAAAATTTACTTGGAAAGATGTGAAGGAAGAGAAAGAGAGGACTGTGTGTTCTGAGAGAACACAGACTTCTCCAGAGTGGAAAAAAGCAGAAAGAGGGAGATAGATGTTGAAGGGAGAACACAGGCTTAAAAAGACAAGGAAAAAGACAGAGAAATAAATATTCAAGGGAGAACATACTCACGGGCTTCAAAGAGCAAGCCCCACCTCATATACTTTTTTTAAGTCACATTAAAATTAATCAATTTTGCCATGGTTGAAATCTTGCCATAAGTGGAAGGTACAAGGGGGGGAGGGGCAGTAGTTAGGACAGAGAAGGGACTGCTCTGACAACAATAGTTGGAAATGGTGACTGAATTGAGTGCTGAAAGGAGGTAAACTAATACATTTAATAACCCTTCAGTACTTGTATTGCAAACTATAATGGCCAAAAGGAGAGAGAGAAAGAGAGAGAGAGAGAGAGAGAGAGAGAGAAGTGCCTGCCATAGAGGCAGGCTGCAGAGTGGGGGGTGGCAGGAGGGAAACTGGGAACAGCTGGAGGGATGGTGTTGGAACATTATATGATGGAAACCCAATCATGAGCAACTTTGTAACTGGATCTCACAATGATTCAATAAAATTAAAATAAAGTAAAACTAATCAATCTTGGATGAAGAGATAGTATAGGTGTTAAAGTACCTGTTGCATACAAGTCAGCCCTGGTTCAATCCCCAATATTATGTGGTCCCCTAGCACTACTGGTATACCGCAACTCAAAGCATAGGGATTGGAGTAGCCCTTGAGCACCGCCAGGTATGACCCCAAACAATATCAAATCAAAATGTATAGCTCTGTCATAGATACCTTGTCTTGCATGTGTGAGTTGTAGGATTAGATTCCCACATGTCTTCTGAAATATTGCCACATGTAACCTTGGTTGCCCCCATAACTGCCTAGGAAGTTCCAAAACAAAACAAAAAAAATAGAATTCCTATAGTTTACTGGTTTAGTTAATGTCTTCTTTTGATTTTTTTTTCTTTTTGAGTCACCTGGCAATGCTCAGGGGTCATTCCTAGCTCTGTACTCCTGGTGGTCCTTAGGGGACCATATGGGATTCTGGGGATTGAACCCAGGTCAGGCGCATGCAAAGCAAATGCCCTCCCTGCTGTACTCTGGCCCCTCTTATTTCAATTTTGAAGTCATTTTGCCTAAGTATGTAGCCCAGTGATTAAGTACAAGATTTCCATGTGAGAGACCCAAATCCTCAGCACCAAAAACGTTAAAAGTAATTCTACCCAGTTTGCCTGGACAAACCTCTCTATTTTCTTTTTCTTCTAGTTAATCGAACTGTGGTTACTCAAGAATCAGAATCCTTACTCAGAAATCCCTTTGAAGCCATCAGACCAGGAACTACTAACCAGGTTGGTTGGGAACTTGTTAGTATGACTTCATGATCAGCAGTGTTATAAAGGCCCAGGTCAAGCTAAGGGACAACTTTCACAGAAGGAGGGGGATTGCTATAGGAAGTGGAAGTCAATGTAGTCAATGTGTAAGAAGTCTTTTTGTTGTTGTTGTTCTATATGAATAGGTTAGGAATGTGTTCCCTCAGTCTAGGGTAGGGAGGGAGGAACTGGCTTCTTATAATTTCCTTGGCCCTTGGAATTTGATACTAGATGATTCTTCTTTTCTTAGCTGAAGATGGGCTCTTTGCTAAACCAGCCCAAAGCTATGCTTCAGAAACTGGCTGCCCTTTCTGACCTCAACCCCAGTGCTCCTCGAAATTCACGAAACTTTGTTTTCCATACACTTTCTCCTGTCAAGGCCGAAGCAGAAAAGGAATCATTGAAGCCTCAGGTAGGAAATTTGAGAACTGATTTGGTTAGCTTTCCAAGCCAGAATAAATATAATTAACTGTGTGTGTTTGTATTTCCAGCTAACAGATTTATCCTGTAGTGTTAATCCTTTACTCCCCAATAAAGTACAAGGGGATTGCTGTCCCCAGAAGATAGTGACTTTGAAACTTGCCTGGAAAGTTGATAAATTACATTTGTAAAGCAGGGGTTGGTTACACCAAGTGGTGTGCAAAACCAGGGCTCTCACAGGCAAATCATTTGCTTCAATCCTTTGAGCTATCTTCCCAGCCCAAAGATTTATATTTTCTTACTCCCTCACATATACCCTGTTGTTAACCATTCATAATTTAACTTTGAATTGCTAAAGGACTAACTAAAGTAAGTAATTATATGAGGGTCATGAGCTGGGCCTGACTCTTTGTTCTCTAGGTGAGAAAAAAATGTTCATCTGGAATAACAACAACTCCTTCACCTAAACGCCTCAAAACAGATGATAGCACTTCAGGACTGAAGCGAAGTGTCTTCAAATATTTGGAAAGCTAACATCATTAAGAATGCCAATACTAATGTGGAGACTGCTTTGAGAAGATTCTGGCATTGAAGGTTGGATAAATGTTCATGTGGGTGATACCACTTTTCTGTCGTAATCAGTGTGTTACAGTTCCAAACTGATTCAAGTTCATTCCACTGCATCCCTCTGGACATCTTTTTTTTTCCCTTAATATTATTTTTCTGAGTTGGTCACTAATTTTAATTCTGCAGTGTTTACAATATTAACTCATAGAGTATTTGGTGACAGCTCATTTCTCCATTTATGTATTTTACACTTTATTCTAGCATCTTCCTGGGTTGACACCAGGAATGGTTGCAATATTTTGGAGTGATTGCAGGAGTAAAAGAATGGCATTATAGAAAGCAGTGAATGTCAGTACCAGAATGACCCCGCACGACCCAAAGATCTGTACTGTGGTAACCAGGACTTAGAGAGAGGCTTCATAGACAGAGGAACTAGGAACCAGCAGATGAGCTATTGTTTTTTATTTTTTATTTTTCTTTTCATTTTTCTATCTTTTCCCAAAGCAAATTTCTAATTAACTTTTTGTTTTGGAGCCACGCTTTCAGGTGCTTTAGGAAATAGGTGGTGCTGGGATTTGATCTCTGGGCTATAATGTGCAAAGCATGTGCCCTTTGAACTTTCTGGTCCTTCCGATCCTTTTCTTGCTTTCTTTACAATAAGGACGCAAACTGAAAGTTAGAAAGACCTTGGCCTTTATTTTCTGAAATGTAAGGAGGAAGAGAAAAGGTGACATCAGCCCAGTGTCTGTCCACCTTAGGTATTCCACGAGAAAGAGCTCTGTCTCATGATTAAATTCTCTGCTTCAGACACGGTTGTTTAAGGAGCCTTTTCATCCTAACAAAAAGAGATATCAACATCTGTTGTATTCAGCTGGTTGAGTGTACCCAGACTAATCAGGATAATTTTATATATTGGTACTTTTTTTTGAGAGAAGACTACCGTGGATTTATTAAAAAAATTTGTTGAAGAGAATTGCCACCAATGCCAAATCATCTGAACTATCCACACCCAAATCATCCACTATTACAGGCTCTCAGAATTTTAAATACTTTTTCCCCATCTCAGAATGGAAGTCACTACTGCTTTGGACAAACATTCTATACACATACTGAAATTCCCTCTCAGGAGCTGGACTTTGAAAATTAGATGTATTGTGTCAGTTTTTAATTGGCAGATGGGAATACCAGTTTAATGGAATTAGGATGTAAATTTTCAAAAGTTTCCAATGCATAAAATGCTAGCTTTGACAGAAACTATATTTGTATATTTGTAATCATGTATTGGGAAAAATGTATATAAAGATGTTTTAATATGCATGTAGAATTTTCAATAAATGTAATGCCTTAGGGGCGAATTTAGTGTCCGGAGTGGATGCTCATTCTTAGTAGGTGCCTGTCTAATGTCTCAGCTGCCTCTTTCTCAGCAAGTCTTATCTGGCCTAAGTGAGAGGCTGCTGTTAGTCCCTTCATTGACTTCTCAATTCTACCCCAGGATCAGATGAACTTAAGTGGTTTGATTCAGGGGCTAGAGAGAGAGTATAGGACTTAAGGTACTTGTCTTACACATGGCTAACCCCTATTTCATCTCTAATCCTTCGTATGGTTTCTCAAGCAGTTCCAGGAGTGACCTCCGAACACAGAACCAAGAAAAAGCCCAGAGTACAGCTGAGTATGGATTTGTCCCTCCTCTGCCCCCCAACAAACCCCAGGTGGTTGGGTTCAGTGCTGATGAGGAGAGCTTATATAAAAGGTATTTTTTATAGGGAATTTAAGATAACGATGGTGCAAGGTGAGAGTTATTGTCCCTCTTTCTGCATTCTTACAGTGCCCAAGGCAGTTCTTGCTGGCAAAAGAAAACTGGGAGAGAGAACTAGGTATTTCTCCTTTTTTCTCATATCCTTTCTTATGTGGGAAGATGATTCATATTGACCACTGAAGATAAGAAAATGAATGATAGGATTCTGGGGTGATTGGCTTTTATTTAGGCTTCAGAAAGAGTGTACAGTGGGAAGAAAGAAAAGTCGAGTCATGGACTGGGGGATGGTTCAGTGGGCTGGAGCACATGCTTTGTATTTTGGAGCCTTGGATTCAGGTCTCAGAAGTGTATGATTCACCAAGCACTCCTAGGAGCGGCTCCCAAACAAAACACCATTAGCAACCCCCAGAACTACTGGTGTGTTTTTTCCCCCATTCACCCGTCCCCTCCCCCTAAAAATTGAATCTTGAATACTACGTCACTTTTCCACATACTAATATAGCTATCATAAAGCAAGCTAAACCTTGACCTTGGTAACAAGATGGAAATAAAGACTTGTGACTGACCCTTAGACCTGATGTCCAAAGCCCTGAGCCATCAGCTTCAGCCTCGTCTACATGAGTGGCAGCACCAGGGCCTGCTGCTGTGGCTCCTGCCAGGACTCAATTTTCCTAGTTTGGGAATTACACATTCAGAGCAACGAGAACCCCAGGAGTCTGGGAGCTCCAGAGTATGTTCAACGTCTGTCCTTCTGCCTCCTCTTGTTCCACACTCGGGGGTAGGGACACATGGTATCTCCTTCATTTAAACAGGTTTCTGATCTCATTAATTCAGTTCACAGTTACATAAGCTGCACTAAAAATCTCTTTCATAAAGCATCAGGTTTTATTCACCAGAGCATTATGGAGACAAGGTATTCAGCTCTGTGTGCTTCCTCACCACCTAACTGCTTCTCTACAATCTGGACTCCACTTTGAGAATTTATTTATTTATTTATTTTCAGCTGCTCAGGGTCACACCTGGCGATGCTTAGGGGTTAGTGCTTAGGGGTTACTCCAGGTGGTGCTTGGAGAACCATATGGGATGAGATGCTGGAGATCAACCCAGGTTGAAATAGAGCAAACACTTTACCCGCTGTACGGTCACTCCAGCCCCCTCCATTTGAAAATTTCTAATAATTTTCTCCCACTGGAGATTTTTGATTGTTTAATCTGAAATTAGTCTAATAAGTTGTGGTGGTTCCTGTCATGAGACTTGGACACCTAAGGACTGCAAAGGATATTTCTAGGAGGAATACTGTCATTTTATCTGATTATGCATCCTTGAGACAGTATTGTCTCTTCTATCTTTGTAACCTACTCCCTCCTGGCATGTGGCCTGGAATGCAGAGTTGCTCAGTAAAAGTTAAATGACTACCTTTCAGAGCTTCCATTTATCTGTAAAATGCAGATAGAAATTCAAGCCTGTTTTGGAGGTGCTGTGAGTCTACACTTGGCAACTATCTGTGAATATATTATGTCAAGTACTACACTGCAAATGTAAGAAGTTGCCAGTGTCATAACTGCATTGTGTTTTTTGAATCACTTTATAAGCAATTTTTTTTTTTGGCTTTTTGCTTTTGGGCCACACCCAGGTGTGCTCAGGGCTTATTCCTCGCTCTGGCTCTGGCTCTGACTCTCTGCTCAGAGAGGAAAGTTGTGGTGCCAGCAATTGAATATAGTTCACCTGCATGCAAGGCAAGCCTTATCTGCTATGCTGTCTCTCCAGCCCCTCAGAGACATCTTAAATGTAACATCTTTAAACATATTCTCTAAGACCTGCTCTTTCTCCTATGTTTCCTGTTTTCATGTTAAAGGCATATCCACATACACAGATACTTTGGCTTGACATTTGAAGGGTATTTCTGACACCTTCCCTACATACTATCATTTTAGGGGACAGAGTGAGAGCACAGCAAGTAGGGTGTTTGCCTTGCACGCGGCTGACCTGGGTTCAATCCCTGGTACCCTAGCCAGGAGTAAGCCCTGAACACTGACAGATGTGACCATCGCCTCCCCCCCAAAAAAAAATCAAGTTCTATTTCTCTCTAATTTTATCTTGAATCAGCTCAGTTTTCCAGCTTGTAGCCATTGTCCTACTCTAAAATTCCATTATTTTTTGCCAGAGTTCTTTAGTAGCCTCCTGACCACCCCTCTCCCTATTTTCCTTCCCTTTCATCCAGTCTACACAGCACTGGGGATGGGATGGGGGGGATGACCTTTTTATAATAAAAACTCAAAGGTGTTACTTCCTCATTTAAAGCCTTTCAGTGACTTCTTTTGCACTGAGAATTAAGTTCACATTCTTAGGGCCAGGTGATGGTTCAATGGCCTAAGCTCCTGCCTTGCAAGCGTAAGGTTGTGAGTTAGATCCCAGTGGTCTTGATTCTGGTAGTTTTGCTTCAGATTGCCTGGTCCCACAAGTGATTTCTGGCTACACTTCAGCCAACTGTGTACAAGCACTGCAGCTAATAGAGTGTGGCTCCTGATGAGCATAGCAGCTGAGTGTTTGAGCACCAAATCCGGGGGGTCTGCTGAGAGCACTAAAACTGTGTGTGTGCAATCCCTGGTCAATGCAATATCAACAGAAAGCAGGTAAGGGGGAATGACTCTCTGGCCTGCCCTTCAGACAGTCATGCACTGCTGAATGAGAAAGGAAGCACTTTTGATGCTGTGTGAACATCACGGAGTAAAACTCCATAAACCTAGATGATGCGGCCACTACCCACCTAGAAAATACGGGATCACTTGTCTATGAGGCCCTTAGACATCCTCAAGCATCATTAGGCCTAAATGGATTACCCCATTTCCCAAATGCCAGTCCACTCTTCCTTCACATTAGTCGACCATAGGACACTCCCAAATTTCTCTTCCTTTTTTTTTTTTTTTTTTGGCTTTTTGAGTCATACCTGGTGATGCACAGGTGTTACTCCTGGCTCTGCACTCAGGAATTACCCCTGACGGTGCTCAGGGGACCATATGGGATGCTGGGAATCAAACCAGGGTTGGCTGCATGCAAGGCAAACGCCCTACCCGCTGTGCTATTGCTCCAGCCCCTTCTCTCCCTTTTCTATCTTTACCTTTTCCCCTTCATTCTTTGCGTAGCAAGGTATAATAAATGGGTGGGTTTTTTTTTTTTTTTAATTTCTCCTCTTTCTCTTTGGTGTTTGTGTTTCTGGTAATGGTGCCTGTACATTTTTGTTTGGAGGCCACAGCCAGTGGTGCTTGAGGATCGCTGCCAGCATATTCCTGCAGGTTTGCTCCCCACAGTGCTGGGGCTTAAGTACAGGGCTCCAAGTCTGCAAAGCATACACTCGAGCCCTTTGTGCTGTTGCCCTAATCTTTGCACATTTTTTAGCTGAGATGCTCAACAGCAGTCACACTTGTAGCAATAGTGCTCTCAGAGGTTTGCTTCCCTTTAGTTGTGCTGTTTGCATATGGGCTGACTGAGAGTCACACTCTGTTTTTGGTTTTGGGTCCACTCAGTGCTGCTCAAGACTTACTCCTGGCTCTTCACTCAAGGATCACTCCTGGGGGGCTCAGGGTGTGGGGACTGAAACTTGGTCAGCCATGTGTAAGGCAAGCACCCTACCTTCTATACACTGGCACCAAGGTGGTCACATTTTAGTTGAGGTATGCATGTTGTGGTTGTGATGCTCTCTAGGGATAGCACTTCCTGGCTGCAGCACTTGCACGTCTGATTTTTCGTCGTGCTCGTCAAGGGTCATACCCCTTTGTGGTGCTTACACACACCCAGTGGTGGTGTAGCTGGAAATAGCTTGCAGATCACAACCAGACAGACTCAAACAGCTGAACTACCAGGACCATGCTGGATGCATGTGACATCACCAGGGATTCGAACTCATGACTATACATTTGCAAGGCAGGTGTTCTATGCCATTCACTACAATTAACATTTGGTTAGAAGTGCCTTTCCCATTGACTAAATTCTGAAAGCAGAGGCCTTATCTGTTTTTTTAAAACAAATATGCTTTGGGTAACAGTTACAGACCCGGCACTTAGAGTTGTTCCATAGCACTGTAGCACTGTAGCACTGTCCTCCGGTTGTTCATCGATTTGCTCGAGCAGACCCAGTAACATCTCCATTGTGAGACTTGTTCCTGTTTTTGGCATATCGAATATGTCACGGGTAGCTTGCCAGGCTTTGCCATGTGGGCGAGATACTCTTGGTAGCTTGCCGGGCTCACCAAGAGGAGCAGAGGAATGGAACTCGGGTCAGCCGGGTCGGCCACATGCAAGGC